GTATGTGGAAGGCTTATTTTACATAAGTCTACCCTCTACAATACGAACAGGGGAATTTACGCAGCTCATTTACGCACTTTTCCTGAAGATAGAAGTGTTTGTTGAATCTGACATGACATGTTCGTACGAACCCTTTGTACGAACAAAAGTAAGAGAAATTTAGGAGAAGAATACGAACATGTTCTTGCATGAGGCCCAATGATCCAGTTGACCTCACGTGGTTTAAATAAAAGATTCCACCTTTCTGCTGCACCCGTACGAATAGTTTGACTCTTTTCAGTCAACTTTAGATATAAATACACTCAGTGTTTTACTGTGTGGCACATCAGCAACTGATGCCTCTAAGAACATTTCTCTATAACTTTTTGTGTTTTTGTAATTTACCTTGCAGACCTTGATGGAAGGGAAGGGTGAGAAGGCAACTGCAGAGGGAATGGAATTGTTAAGGCRTGAGGTGGGAACCCTGAAAGGAGAGCTGAAGGTTTCTGAAGATGGTTAGTTTTTATGCACAACTGCACATCCCCTCCAATGCTTTTTTTTTTTTTTTAAACATGTCTGTTTTTTTTTTAATAATCTGACCAGGAGAATGTTGATCTGACACCTGGAGACTTGTCACACACAGAGGATGTGAAATGATGACGTGGGATTTTTTTTTTCTTTTGCAGCTCTGAAGAAATCGCAGTCGGAGGCAGATGTGATGAAGAAGCAGTTGGAGGGCCTCGCCAGGGAGTATGACCGGGTCCTCACGGAGCATCAGGAGCTCCAGGTAAAGCTAATCACAAGCACAACATGGTGCCTTGTTGGGTTTTTCTCTGTGAAACTAAAGAGAGTAGAAGTTTCTGTTGTAAGGGTATAAACAGTTTTATSTGTTCGAAATGGTTATTTGAACATCAAAATGGAAAACAAAGTCTAGTGTTTCATGCAAAGACTGTTGTAGAAACCATAATATATTCTGGCAGGAAGTGGTCCAGGCTTCACTGGAAAAGCTACAGCTGGTTGCTGCTTTTGCCGTTTGCAAATGACCAATGTGTTCTTTGTAAATAACGCGAAACTGACGTAAAAGTTTTTAAAATAGCGTCCACATGAACCACACGTTTGACTCGTGATGTTTTCAGTTGGCAGCCCTCTGCTTTAGCCTGGTAAAAACCAGACCCTCGTCCTTCACTTTGCTTCGTACGAGGGTCTGTGCTCTCAGCTATAGAGAAGTGATTCTTGCTGGAGGTGTGGCCTCTGCTGAAGTTTAAAATGATTGGATCGGTTGGCCGCAACGTATTCGTACGCCAGCGCCATTGAAGGAGGCTAAGCTAAGAAGCTAACCGGAAACCGCGTGTGCTGTAAACAACCCTACTGAGAGGAGAAAAGTACCGAGCCGAACGAGACGGCTGTAAATGAGAGCTGCTGCTTTGTCAGACAAATTTTATTTAATTATGAAGCCTTATCAACACTGACTGGCGTCATTCGCTTCCTCCACTGCTGTATGCTAAACTAACTTGCAGACACTGCACAGAAAATGGATGTTCTGTTCTCTGATTGGCCCGGACAAAAATTCTCCTGAACAAATCCTTGACTATGGGAGAAATCCCAGACGGAGCAGTGAAGGGAAACTAAAATTGAGCAGAACTGCGTAGGAAGGCAAGGGCCAGGCTACCTCTGCTTTGGTTTTGGTCTTGTTTAAACTCGCTGTTAATTTTGTCTGTACACGCAGCATTAAACTTTTTCTCTTTCCTTTTAACAGAAGTTGTTTGAAGAGCTATGCACAGCAAGTAACATATGTTCTAACATCCCACATAACCCCCTCCCCAACAAAATACCTGGAACTATTATTTTTAACTTTCTGTTCAGCRTCAGTCCTAACATTTAAAGTTTGGCTGACATTAAGTTTAAAGAAGAAAAGCACACAGGCATCAGACTCCTTTGTTGCCTATTTAATGTGCATTTTATTTTTTTATTCTACATTTATGTAGCTTTAAAACATTTCCTGAAACTAACAGTTTTTTTTATTTTTTTCACATTTCTTGTCCTTTCAGAATCGTCAAGATTTTGGAAACAAAAAGGACGACTAGTGAGAATTAGATGGGTTAACTTCTCCAAATCAAAGAGAAAGCCATTCAACATTTTCCTCTTTTTCACCTTAAACTTTGGGTCGGGCTGTAGATTACACAACTAGGATTGGATCCACTGAGGGGCAGAGATAGTGATGGTTTTAAATCAGGTGGTTTTTTTTTTTTTAATTATTGGCATGATACAAACTTAATAAAAGAAACTATTTCTGCTTGCCTATTTAAATTCAGACAGCTTATTTCCTCTGAAACCCTTTAGACGATTTACATTGCAGAATTTGCTGAGAGATCAAAATGCTGCAGTAARTTATTATAAATGTCTAGTTATGGTAAAGGTTTGCTTTAACGCCACTGTAGGATGCTGCAGACTCTCTGGYCCTGGACGGTTTATAAATCGACTGTATGCATGTAGACAAATCAGCTTCACATTTTGATGTAATCCAGACACACCTTCTGCCTTATTCATAAGTTGTGGTTAACATCCTTCACATAGGGTTTCTTTATTCAGGTTTGTTGCTTATTTTTTTCAACATAAAGACAAATAAAAAATATTCATAAGGATAGAAATATTCCTTTAACCGCACAGGATTGTGTTTTAGGCTTTATTATTTTTGGAAAAATAGATTTGTTTTTGTTTTTTGCGTTTGATTTCTAAAGAGTTCATAGACTGTTTTATTTCATGCACTTCACACACGTTTTATCTTTTTTGTGCATGCAAAACCGGAATGTATCATTTTTTAAAAATTCTATTAGCTGCATGTTGTGAGAAAGGTTGTGTTCACTTGTTTAAATCTTTCTCCAGTTTGGTTGCTGAAGTGTTTTGATTTAAAGGTTTACAACATTTATTGTCTAGATTTTTTTTTTCTGATTGTGTTCACTTTTGTTGTACAGAGAGATCTGACTGAAGTGCCTTTTTACCCGATTAAAGCATATTTTCTCTAACAAAAATCAGTTTATGATTGTTTATTTTTAAAAAAATAATACCAACAGCATGAATTGAATATTAAATGTTTTATTGTTTTATAATATTTCAAAATTTACAAAAATAATCAAATACATTTATGTACAATCTTATTTAAATGCAAGTGAATGCCTTTTTATTGAAATTTCCATCCTGTATACTGCTTTTCTTTAAACAATGCCCCTGAACACAAACCTAAATACAGCAGATAATACAGTCTGCACACACTTTAAAATGACAAAAACATGGGGGAAAATAGGATTGTGTATAGAAGATAATTCTCCAGACATTATTGAAAACATATAGGGATTCTTAGCAGAGGATGGTCTAAAGCAGGTTTTCCCTGGGTGGCTCTTGGGTTACTGCTAGAGTAGACTATAAAGATGTGAAAATATCACTGGTGCATCTGGTTTGGCAGTTCTGAAAAAAATAAAGAGATAACAGCAACAACAAAATGTGTAACATTTTGATTTTTTTTTTCCTTCAAGTTGTGCAGCAGTGAAAAGTTGTTGCACATCTCCGTAAAGACTTTAAAACACAGGCTTCTGTCATGAAAAGCTGAATACCATCCTTTCACAACAACTGCAGAACAAAAATAATCTGAAGTAAATTAGTGCAATTTCAGCACTGTAAGACACATCATAAAAAGTTGAATTAATACTTGTAATGTAGTAAAGATTCAGTGAGTCAAGGGTGAGGGGAACATGGGGTGCAGTGGGTGCTACAGCATGCTTATTGATGCAAGAGGGCATGCAAATCCAAATAAAGAATTGATAAAAAATAAAATGAGTGATTTTTTTTAAATCTGATGTTTTGAGTGTTTGTTCTAATAGCTGTGTAATTTTACAAGTGAATCWAAAAGAAGTGGGCAGATTCTCAATATATCAAGGTTTAGGTTTTATAAATACTGTCTAACAGATACAGCATATTATTTAGTGCCCATGTTCAGATAAAACAGCATGTGTGCATTTCCCTGCATATATTTGGTATTCTTCAAATCCACACATGCTCAACTTCCTGACTGCAGCATTTACAACTCTGTACTTCATTTACCTGAAGAGATGCTCCCACTCGTAGGAGGAACATAAAATCCTAAAACGTAAGAACCCTGTGTGACATTTTCCCTGTTTTATCTCATTACAACTTGTATGTTTAGATTTTTTTCGATAATGGCCTAAACRTTTTAGAATCTGTGTAGTCCAATAGACTTGGCCAACGATCATTAGCAACTTTAGATGGAAGCTGTAATGTTTCTGGGTTTCCACAGCTGAACCCTCCCCACAAAATTTACTTGAATTACTAGAATTGAGCAAGAAACGGGAACAGTTGCCACCAGGGTCATATCACTTTAAAGACACTGTTTACAGCCTTCATGTATCTGGGATTCTTGATTTTGAATAAATCCAATGCCTGTAAGTCATCAAGGCAACATCATCTGTAGAAAATACATAAATTAAATTTTCAAAAACTTAAACCCATCATATAAAGAACACAAACGTGGTTATTTTTAAAGTCAGTACTTTAGTCAGATTCGCAGAACAGATTTGTGTAGTTTTCAAACCATTACACATTTTCAACATCATGTTTTGCAATGCTGCCAGTGCACCTTTTGATGCCTCTACAAACTGGCTGGAATCGCTGCTCATGATAATGAAAGACATCTATACTTATGGACTGACAGTACAAAGGTCTAAGGTTTCATAAGTCTGAGACAGAACGGTGYAACAAACTCAAGCTACAAATGATTTACTGTTTATAAATTAGTGATATAATTTAAAATCCCTTCCGGACATTGTGAATATAAGCGGAATAAAAGAACCTACTTAAAAAAGGAATTATCTTAAAAATCCCAGAATGTGGCACATTATCAAACAAGAGGTATGTTTTATCATCTTCTATTAATTAACTGATCAGGTTTTGTTGTGATAATGTGGCACTAGTGCAGATCAACTCTACCTCAGCCCTATCATCATCTGATGTAATAAAAACTTTAAGTTACAGTGGGGTGTGAAAGTTTGGGCAGCCTTGTTAATTTTCCTGATTTACCTTTATAAATCATTGATTGTTTAGATTTAAAAAACAGTAAATATATTATATAGGGGACAAACATGGTGATATTTGAGAAATGAAACGAAGTTTAAATGATTTACAGAAAGTGTGCAATAATTGGTTAAACAAAAGTAGGCAGGTGCATAAATTTTGGCACTGTTGTCATTTTATTGATATCAAAACTTTAACCTTTAAAACAGAAAGCCATCTCAGAGATTTCAGCTTTCGGTCTCCACTGTGAGAAACATTATGAGAAAATGGAAGACCACAGGCACAGTTCAAGTCAAGGCTGGAAGTGGCAGACCAAGACAAATCACCAATAAACAGAAGCRAAGGATGTTGTAAACAGTCAGAGTCAACCCACAGACCAGCACCAAAGACCTACAACATCATCTTGCTGCTGATGGAGTCACTGTGCATCGTTCRTCTATTCAGCACACTTTACACAAGGAGATGCTGTATGTGAGAGTGATGCAGAGGAAGCTTTTTCTCCACCCACATCACAAACAGAGCCGCTTCAGGTATGCTGAAGCACATATGGACAAGCCAGCTTCATTTTGGAATAAGGTGCTGTGGACTGATGAAACTAAAATAGAGTTATTTGGGCAGAACAAGGTCTGTTACACATGGAGGAAAAAGAACAGCACTCCAAGAAAAACACCTGCTACTAGGGGTGCAACGATACAGAAAATTCACAATTTGGTTCGGTTCGATACTTTATTCTCAYGGTTTGATATTTTTTCGACACAAAAAAGAGAAATTTCCATGCCCCTTTTAACTTGTAATTTATTTAAATTGATTATGAACATTTGTCTACCTCAAAAGTACAGTTTTTAAATTAAATGTTGCTGAAACAGCTAGTTTCTCAGTGGGTCTGCACTCAAAAATGCAGCCTAGGTGGAGTAGTCGAATACAGATCCACTGATCCTTTAACACAGAGCATCTTCAGAAGACAAGTTGATAAAGTAAATTTTAAAAATCTGAATTGTTCGATACAAGTGTGTATTGAACCTAAATCACCGTTTGATACAGATACATGTATTGTTGCACCCCTACTAAACACTGCTCAAAATCTACTAAGGCGTTCATGCAGAGGAAAAAGTACAACATTGTGGAATGGCCATCTCAGTCTCCAGACCTGAATATTATTGAAAATCTGTGGTGTCACTTAAAGAGAGCTGTCCATTCTCAGAAACCATCAAACCTGAATGAACTAGAGATGTTTTGTAAAGAAGAACGGTCTAAAATACCTTCAGCCACAATCAAGACTCTCATTAAGCTATAGGAAGCATTTAGAGTCTGTTATTTCTGCAAAAGGAGGATCTACTAAACATTGAGTTGTTATTTATTTATTTATTTATTTATTTATTTATTTATTTATGTGCCCAAATTTATGCACCTGCCTAGTTTTGTTTAACCAATTATTGCACACTTTCTGTAAATCATATAAACTTCATTTCACTTCTCAAATATCTGCTTGTCCCCTATGTGATATATTTAACTGATTTTTTTATCCAAACAATCAATGATTTATAAAGGTAAATCAGGAAAATTAACAAGGGTGCCCAAACTTTTGCACCCCACTAATGGACTAATGCCAAAATGACAATAAAGTTAAATCTTCCACGGGACGGTGGGGGGGTGAGATCAACTAATCAGGACAAATTGAACTTTTGTGGCCTCATCCCCAAACCTTCATAAAAAAGCTGTTATTCAAACTAATAATTAAAAAAGAAAGCTTGCATGTAGTGGCTTTAAAATTTGACATAGAAGGAAACAATTACAAGACGATATCGTCATAAATCTAAACACTAAACAAATTTGGTCTTAGACTGAATTTATGAACATAAACATACAAGTTTTTAAAGTGGGATTCTATAGAAAGGCTATGAACAAAATCTGTTTGACATTTGAAGAAAAATGTGCCRATTTTCAAGTATTGAACAAATCAGTTACAGTTTGCTTGAACAAATGAAACTGAAAACATTGAACCAAAAAAGGTTCTTCTGATTCCAGAAAGAAGCTTCATATGAGGATAAAATCCTGAGCGCAGACTACAGTGATTCTGGGTTTTTGGCACAGGCGACCCGGTTCGCACACATTAACACACAAACAGATAACAAAATAAATGCAACACAGGCAACACATGAACACTTCCAGTGTCTCCACTTCACAGACTGTGACTTTTACCATCCAAAACACTCAACAAATACACAGAATACTGGTAACCAGTGTAGCATCTTTACAAACTGCCTTTAAAAAAGAAACACAAAAATGGCTAGGCCCTACACAACACCAAACGCTAGAAGTACTTCAACATAATATCTTCAGTTTTTAAAATCGACTGCATTGTTTGTTCGTAGAGAAACATTTTTGCAATGATATATTATTTAAAAAACAGAACAGTGCAATAGATAATTAGTTTGTGAAGAGGAATTAACGATGAGCACAGGAGTCAGAACAGTTTCTACTTCATGCACAGATTATACTTGCTCCCTTCTGCAAACTGACACAAAATATTTGGCAATTGATTTAATGCCTGATGCAATTTATAGGCTCAAACCTGCAGCCTCGGAATCACGGGACTGAGACAGCAACCATCAAGCTACAGCTACCCCATCATATTACACTAAAATACTTTAAATGACTATAAAAACTAAAATTCATTTCAAACTGAACACAACACAAACTGCAAAACAATCAGAATAAACTTTTGGCTTTTCCAGAAAAAAAAGTCTGCTTTAAAGTGTGTTTCAYAAGTTTTTAAGACTTACAGTTTAACATTGGAACGGATCACTATTTAAATACTATTAAAATTGCTCACCTTTAGGCAGAACTGAGGTAACTGTTGAATGAATGAGGCACATAATGCTTTTTTTWAAATCACATATACACCTGTAGGTCACTGGTTACATGTCTGAGTAGGCATTTAAATGGATAGTTCAGCTCTTTTAAAGGGGTGTGGGGGTTATTGTGTAAAGTTGACTTTTGAAAAAACTTAAAATCATGCTATGTCATTCCTTCATCAAAAATATACCCAGAGTGTAGCTTTGACTCATTCATGCAAGTTTGAACAAATCCTTTAATCTCTTGTGGTAGCCATGTGGAGCTGCCTAAACGCTTGCTGGTATAAAGCACCACCTATTTGGACAAAGCTCCACCCTTGGCATGGTGGCTCAGTTGGTAGAGCTGTTCCCTCTCATGATCGCTGACCATTGTGACATTTTTTGATTGGAATAGTTTAAGGATGTCAGTAATACCCTTCAATCCTGATCCAGCTTGAACTAGTCCTACAGGTTGTAAAAAGAGCTACCTGCAATATCCGTCCATCCGTTTTCTGCCGCTTATCCAGGATCGGGTTGCGGGGGCAGCAGCCTAAGCAGAGAGACCCAGACTTCCCTCTCCCCAGCCRCTTGGGTCAGCTCATCCAAGGAAATCTCAAGGCATTCCCAGGCCAGCTGAGAAACATAGTCCCTCTAGCATGTCCTGGGTCTTCCTCTGGGCCTCAATCCAGTGGGACATGCCCGGAACACCATACCAGGGAGGTGTCTAGGAGGCATCCTAACCAGATGCCCGAGCCACCTCAACTGRCTCCTCTCAACATGAAGGAGCAGTGGCTCTACTCTGAGTCCCTCCCAAATGACTGAGCTTCTCACCCTATCTCTAAGGGAGAGCACAGACACCCTGTGAAGGAAACTCATTTCGGCCGCTTGTATCCTCAAACTCGTTCTTTCAGTCAGTACCCAAAGTTCATGGCCATAGATGAGGGTAGGAACGTAGACCAACTGGTAAATCGAGAGGTTTGCCTTCTGGCTCAGCTCCTGCTTCACCACGACAGACCAGTACAGTGCCCACATCACTACAGACACAGCACCAATCCGCCTGTCGATCTCCCACTCCATTCTTCCCTCATTTGTGAACAAGACCTCGAGATACTTAAACTCCTCCACTTGGGGCAGGATCTCCTCCCCGACCCGGAGAAGGCACACTACCGTTTTCCGGCTCAAGACCATGGTCTCGGATTTGGAGGCACTGATCCTCATCCCGGCCGCTTCACACTCGGCTATGAACTGCTCCAGAGAGAGCTGGAGATCCTGATCTGATGAAGCCAATAGGATCGCATAATCTGCAAAAAGCAGAGATGTGATCCCAAGGTCACCAAAAAGGATCCCCTCAACACCTTGGCTGCACCTAKAAATTCTGTCCATAAAAGTTCTGAAAAGAATCAGTGATAAATGGCAACCTTGGCTGAGGCTAACTCTCACCAGAAACAAGTCCGACTTACTACCGGCGATGCGGACCAAGCTCTGGCACCGGTCGTATAGGGACCTAAAAATTACCTATCAATGGGCCTGGTAGCCCATACTCCCRGAGTACCCCCCACAGGAGTCCCAGAGGGACACGGTCGATGACCTTCTCCAAGTCAACAAAACACATGTAGACTGGTTGTGTGAACTCCCTTGCACCCTGCAGAACCCTGCTGAGAGCATAGAGCTGGTCTGCTGGCCCATGACCAGGACAAAAACTACACTGCTCTTCCTGAATCTGAGATTCGACTATCCAGTGGACCCTCCTCTCCAGGACCCCTGAATAGACCTTACCAGGGAGGCTCAGAAGTGTGATCCCCCTATAGTTGGAACACACTCTGCAGTCCCCCTTTTTAAATAGGGGGACCACCACCCCGGTGTGCCAATCCAGGGGAACTGCCCCCAATGTCCACGTGATATTGTAGAGTCGCGTCAACCAACACAACCCCACTACACCCAGAGCCTTAAGGAACTCCATGCGAATCTCATCCACCCCTGGCGCCTTGCCACTGAGGAGCTTTTTAACCACCTCGGTGACCTTGGCACCAGAGATTGGAGAGTCCAACCCAGGGTCCTCAGGTTCTGCTTCCTCATGGGACTACGTGTCRGTAGGATTGAGGAGGTCTTCGAAGTATTCCGCCCACCGACCCACAACGTCCCAAGGTGAGGTCAGCTGCGCACCATCCCCACCATAAATAGTGTTGGTGGTGAACCACTTTCCCCCCAGAGAAGCCGGATGGTGGACCAGAATCGCCTCAAACCATACAGAAGTCTTTTTCCATGGCCTCTCCTAACTCCTCCCATGTCCGAGTTTTTGCCTCAGCTGCCACCCGAGCCGCAATCCGCTTGGACTGCCGATACCTATCGGCTGCTTCCGGAGTCCCACAGGCCAAAAAGACCCAATAGGACTCCTTCTTCAGCCTGACAGCATCCCTCACCACCGGTGTCCACCAGCRGGTTCGAGGGTTGCCGCCACGACAGGCACTGACAACCTTTTGGCCACAGCTCAGGTAAACCGCCTCGATCGTGTTCTATCTGCAACATGTAAGATATTAACTGTTCATAACCTCTTTATAGAACCCCACTTCAGAAGAGCTGACTGATCACTATAAACTATTGGAAAAATAAATCTTTACAAGCCTGATTTTCCTCCTGTTTTGTGTTGTGCCTCTGCAAAAAACAGCTTTACTTTGTCTGCTCTGTAACATTAGTGACAGGAAGAAAAGCCTCCATTTTGAAAGAACTGACCTAACAGGGGCAGCTCAGTAATGCTGGTGTTCTTTAGATCACACTTCTGGTCCCGTCTTTGTGTAGGGATCAAAACCAACGTTTCTGTCTGCCAGAATAAAGAAAAGTCCRTACATTCCAGAAACARGTTCTGTTTCCATCCATTGCTAACCTCAACACATTCAGTAGTACAAATATAGATTTTATGCTGTACATAAGATGATTAAACACAATATGTGATTCCCTGCAAATCTCAGTTGAGTATGAGTGCATGTTTACAGTGTCAGACTGTACAAACGTTGTGTGTACTTACTTGAGTGACAAGCACACATCAAAACAAAGGAGGAAAAAGAAAGTCACTTCTGGTGGATCAACGGTCACAGCCGACTGTACTCCTCTGTGCCATTGTCTGACGTGTGAACTGTTTCATCAGACTTCAGTATAACAAACTCCTCTTTCCTGAGCGTCTCCAGCTCAGTCCCACCGTTGGACAGAGATTCATGTAGGGCACGCTTTTTCTCCTCCTTCAGCTGCCGGCTGAGCAGAATGAAGCCCGGAATGCAAATGATAAATGAGATAGTCCGCAGGCTTAACGTTAGGCCGAGGTATGCTATCCTGAGAGAAAAAGAATAATTTGGCTTATTTAGACAAGTATATTGGTTTTGTTTCATCTTCTTTTTTTGCCATTTTATTGTAGAGGTGTCAAACTCGAGTTCTCAAGGGTTGCTATCCAGCATGTTTTCCTTTTTTCTCTGCTCCAACACACTTGATTCAGTKTTTGAATTTCCTCTTCATTTTTGTAGAAACTTGTTAATCATTCATTCTGGTGTGTTTGAGCGGGGAAACTTGGAAAACAAGCAGGATAGTGGCCCTCAAGGATATCATATCATATCATATCATATCATATCATATCATATCATATCATATCATATCATATCATATCATATCATATCATATCATATCATATCATATCATATCNTATCATATCATATCATATCATATCATATCATATCATATCATATCATATCATATCATATCATATCATATCATATCATATCATATCATATCATTCCAGCCCCTGAGCTGTAAACTTTCATTAACTTTGGCTCTCTGAGCAGTTTAGTTGTATAGTCCTGAGAAATCATATTAAACTGTTTGTTTTACTTTATTGTTTTTATTTTATTATACAGTATGTGAAGCACTTCTAAGAAAGGTGCTATATAAATAAACTTTACTTACTTACTTACATCATATTATTTTGTTATATTTTATTATAACGTATCGTGTCCTAATCTACCATATCAAAATATTACATTTTGAATTGTATTAAATATTAGTAAATAGTAGTGTGTAATACTATATCAAATTACAGTGTGCAATTCATTCCGACAAAAATTTGGAGGTAAATCATAAGAATGGTCTCAGACCAAAAGAAGAGATGTAACAAAGGGATGCAGAAGTTTCTGGGGACAAAAAAGTTATATGAAGAAATATGGAGGGAAGAAGTAGACAAAAAGTGAAATGTGCCAATAAAAACATCTTGGGTTTGGGAAAGCACACATTGCCCTCAARGAAAACTCTAAGTACACTGTTTGGAGTCCTGACTGGGCACAACCTGCTAACCTGTCAAAAAAATGATGATAGGACTCCATGACAATGGTCTGTGTGATGCTTGTGGTGTTGAACCTATTTGCACTTAGGCCACTGCCTGGCTCTGATCAGTCAAAGGAAAAAAWATTCTTGGGGACCCTTTTATGAATACTGAGAAACTCAGAACACTGAGTGTTTCTAACTTTGTGTCATTCATCTGAGCAATGCAAAGGTTTGAATAAAGACCAGGGTCTTTTTGGGGAGAACAATGGGCCCACTTATGAGGCCCCCGCTCATATGGGTTCATTATCCATCCTCAGTAACCACAAACCATAGAACATTTATTTATTTTTAAGACAAGTTGCCTTAAACATTTGCATGTCAATCTGTTTTTCGTTAGATGTGATTGTGCTTTGTCTCACAWAAAACTCACATTCATGATTTTTTAACTACAATATGTCCCAATAGACAGTTAAAATAACAAAGCTTGTGCACCAGCAGAAAATGTTCAGCAAGTTGAAATGTAGAGCAGTAATGATGTGATTACCTGTATGCAGTAGTGTTGTAGATCCTACAGGCTCCTAAACCCCCACATCTCTTCTGACCCCATTTGAGACAAGTGGTGTCAATGATTGCTCCRAAGTAGATGGGTGCAGGGATCCCTGCTGTAAGGACCAAAATCCATTTTCACAATCACACCTCTGATAACTCAGATACAACCAAATCTGCTTCATCTGCGTCTCTCAGATGTTGTACACATAACCTTTAAACTCAAAAGTTGACATTCTGAGATGTATCTGTTTAGTGAAAAGCTCCTTAGGCGGATTAGAAACCAGGTTTACCTGTTTCTTCTCAGCTCTGAAACCCCCACAGGCTGCACTCTGAAGAAGACTTACCAAGAGTTCGAGTTGCCAAAGCATGGAAACCCAGAGCCAGAGATTTCAGCTGTGGTTTGATGCACCTGCATGCAGAAAAGTTGGGTGTTTTTTAGGGCATCACAGTCAGAAATCATAAAAAATAGAGCTAATTCTCACACAAAACAACAAACAAACAAAAAAAGTTAAGTCAAATTCCATTTTCACTTGTCATTGGTTAATAAATCATTGAAGTGTTAGTTTCTGTTTCAGTTTAACCTCTATTACGAGGGAAAAAGTAAATGAGGTATTTTATTTAAAAAGCTCAGCTTTAGGAAAATTRCACTTTTAAGATTTCTTTATAGACTGACATGCCGAACAAAAACGAAACTTTAAACTTTAAATTATCTAACTTCAAAACTCTATTACTGCTTATAACACTACTTGTGTCCTATTAGGCCTGTTGATGTGACAGCAGAGGTCATGTCGTAATGAAGTAATCTCACCAGCAGAGGCCGCTGTAACACCTGGTTAGAATGTCCTCCCCCGGACTCGATTATAGGTATAATGTGTGAAGTTTTCATTGTAAATAATAAGAGCAAAGATATTGTGGCAGGGTCTAACAACACATTTTAAAGTTGATTGCTGTTATTTATAAAAAAAAAATGTTTTTTTAATGTAAAATTCTCCTAAATGCATGTATTTTTTCTCCCATCTCCTCATGTCTCACCCTTCCCTTTTATGTTGCTGGCATCATTGTTAGAAATATAGGTCACAAGAAAAGAAATGTACAAATACTGGAACTGAGGTAAAGTGATACACTTCAGGAGATTACTGAACTAACAAACCACTACTTCGTGCACTTCCAGAAGAATTGAGCCGCAAAACAAAATAATGGACATTTGGTATTTTGGTACTTCAGAGTTATTGGTTATTTTACATGTACTTTTTTTTTCAATAGATTTAAGTCTAACCTGATGAGAAACATGTAGCCTGGCGTGCCCCCGAGGGAGATGATGAAGGAAGTGATGACAGAGAGGGCAAGGAAGTAAGGGAACATCCTGTCGCAGTCGTCCTTTTCAGGACAATGACCTGTGCTGGCCGTAAAGTTTCCAGCCGCGCCGACACAGCTACAGTTCGAGAAGACCTGGAGAGACATGAAAAGGTTGCAGACACACACCTACACAGTAATGCACATTTACAAATGAAGATTTGTGTTTTATCAACAGGCACCAATTAAAATAAAAATTAAATTAATAAAATGCAGGAGCTAAACATAAAATAAATTTGTCATGTTGACATAAGAGAACGTTTTGTCTTTTTTTTTGAATGGTTGACAGTTGTTTCATGAGAACATTTTTTTTCTTTGTTTGTTTGTCATATTTCAAATGCATGGTTCGTACAGTGTCTTTCCCTGAGCCTGTAGAAGTGGTGCAGCCAGCAAGACACGGAGAAACGTATGTGATGCTGTTCTTCCCGCACACAGGGTCCCACTCATTTGGTGAACACAGACAGTCTGAGTTGCAGGCCAGTTTGTCTGTGCTGGAGATAAAAGAAAGAGTAACATAACCTCTAAGATAGAACCAAAAAACACGATTACAAGGAAGTGATTGCACAATGTAAAGAGATGATGTCCTATATGCACATTTCACTGGAAAATAAAAAAGCAGCAATGTAATTCTAACACAAATATCTTTAAAAGATTAAAGATTTGAACAACTTTTGAGCGATTATTTTATTTTCCTATTCTCCTAAAAAACAGCATTCGTGTCAGAGAACATCTCATTTGTAAAACACAAGGGTGTGATAAATTCAGTATCATTACCACAGGCTGTGTTGGATTTTTGTTTATCTGTGCCAAGTTAGAGCACACATTTTTAACATATCACTAATTCATTCAACCATTTTATATTTTAGTTAAGCCTATCGAAGTGCAAATACTCATTATGGAAGTTCTGGTTGCCCCACTCCTTGATGATTGTGTTGTGTGCCAAATGCTACAAAACCCCATGATTTCTGCACATGCCATCAGGAAAAAGGTATTAACATCTTTTTTTTTTTKTGTGTGTGTGTGTCATCAAACATTGAGTTGGACAGTGGATTCACCATTCCATGTGCAGGCCGCTATTAACACCAGAGCAGAAACAGTGGTGTTTACAGTGGTGCCACAACTGGAAGGTACGCGTTTCCAAGGGGAGAGGACCAGTCATGGAGTGACACACCCACATTACTCCCTGGTGTGGGGAGCCATAGGATATAACTTCAGGCCACCTTTGACAGTGATTTGAGGGATCCTGATGGCACAGTGCTAGAGTATGTCAGGGACATCTTGCCTGTCTCACCCCTCCTGAGCAGCACCCTGGTGTTGTTTTTTTAGCAACACATTCACGCAGAAACTGTTTGCATCATGTTGTCCTGACATTAATCTTTCCCCAGTCAAACATCAACTCCAACCCAGTGCCAAATCTCAAAGGTCATTTACAACTGCCTTGGACTGACCCGTCACAGTAGAGCTTACGGCAGCTGTATGATGTCTGCCACACTATAGCCAGGTCCAAGGGGGTGTTATACCTTACTGACATGTGACCATACTGCCATCTCTGTTATCCATTTGATTTGAAATTGTAATTATTACATGCAATTTTGTTGTTAGCACGTTTCTTACAAGTACAAAATCATAAGGCTGCCAACTACACTATCCACACTGCACTATTTTTCCAAGCAAAAACATTCCTCAACCTTGACGCAACAGGAGCATTTGTGACTTACCTGTTGTACGACAACGTCACCCCGGCCACCTTRGCATTTTCACAGCTCATTGCGAAGAAAAACAGAGAAAGAATGTAACCAATTAGGGAAGTGCCAAAAGCAACTTTGGCTGCTCCCATGATGTTCAGCTTCAGCCTCTTCATGAGCAGACCACCAGAAAACATCCCCAGTGCCACAGCAGGGATATTGATCACACCTGGGATCATAACAACATCATAGTCTGGTCATACACTATAGAATTGGAAAAATAAGTGAATCATTTGATTAAAAACTGGTTTGCATTTTAGATCATGTACACTTTCAGTAGAGAAGTCTTCAAACGTCTTAACAAAAAGGTAATTCCTTTTTATTTTTTTGCTTTTATAGCTTCAAATACATTGTCTTTGATCTACACACATCATTAACTGTGGTCACTGTTACATTCTCCTTAATATGCATTCAATCTGGTCAGAACAGGCATCTCTTCTAATGAGACCACATGATTTCATTTATTTTCATTTTCTGCTTTGCACTTCATTAAGTATTTCATTTTATGTGGAGAGCAATTTTCATATTCACAGAGCCCCCTTCATTGCAGCGTTGGCAGCTGGTGGGCTGAATTGGAATATGCTAACCCAGTTCTTATACAACAAGTTCCGTCTGAAGGTCTGCCTCATTCAAGGGACACAAAAGCTAAAAGAGGACTTGAGAAATGAAAGGAAACAGGAAAAAAACATTTCATAAACGTGCAACGTACCCATCAGAAAGTTTGCTTTYGAGGCAGACTGCCTGAAATGCTGCTCGATGTACTTGGGCTTGTAGGTGACCATGCCAATGAGAGAGTTCAGCTGGATGACGGTCACACACAAGTAGATTAGGTACACTGGGTGTCCCAGCAGAGTTCGCAGGGTTGGAAAAAAATCTGTGAAATTGTATCAAACAAGTACCAGTAAATTAATATACATATAAATAAAACCATTTTGAATAAAAGCAAACCTCTTTTTAACCCTTACCTTTAGCCATCTCTATAAAACTGGTGTGTTCCTCTGCTTCATACTTGTTCTTCAGATGTGGCGGGTTTTTAAGAAAACTCGTCTTCTCCTGGGTGCAATGCTTTGGGAGCTGGGACCCGGATGTGGGTAGAGAGCGGGGCAAAAACCAGAACGGGATGGCAGAGAGCAGGGTGATGATTCCAGCAATGAGGTAACCCAGCCACCATGCTCCAACCCAGCGGGCATCTGCTGGGGTTATGGTGATAGACTCTATGTCAAGGAGGCAGAGGAAGGAAGGTAAGTTCATGAATGAAAGAAAACAATGTAAATAATGTGCTTTCAAGGGTCYCTTTTGTTCTGGTAACCTAAAGTGCAAGGCTTCCACCAAGAGGATAGGTTGTTCTCTAAAAATTGGAGATTAAAATGTTGTCTTTCCATCACCCRGTGGAAAGACTATAAAGCTGCATCAAATCAATTTAAGTAGATTGTGAAAAAAAGGCTACAAGGGTGAAAATACAGTTCTTAGAAAATTCCCCTCAAACTGTTGCCTGGATATCCAGCAGAAAATGGAAAGATGGTTGTCAATACATATCTATTTTTTTAGGCCAGAGGTTCTCAAACTGGGGTCCCTGGACCCCCAGGGGTCCACGAGAGGTATCTTGGGGGTCCTCAATTTATTTTTTACTAAAATGTTAATTTGTTTTTTTTATTTTTAAAAATGCATGGAGACCAATGAATTAATAAAACAAACATAATAAGCTTAATAAAAATATATATTCCATGGCATTTAGGCATTGAAATGACAATAAATTATCCTTTTAATCAGCATGGGTTTTATGAGGGGGTCCCTGGAATTTGTTTCAACCTTGTAAGGGGTCCCCAGACCCAAATGGCTTGAGAACCCCTGCGTTAACTGACTCTCCACTTCATATACATATACAGTGGTTTGCAAAAGTATTCATACCCCTTGAACTTTTCCATATTTTGTCACATTACAACCACAAACATAAATGCACTCACCGGCCACTTTATTAGGTACACCTGTCCAACTGCTCGTTAACACTTAATTTC